CTATGATGATTCAAAATAACCATAAAAACAAGCACAGATGTGATAACATCACAAACTAGTCAAATCAAGCAGATATTGACCTAAAACCAATTAAATTAAAACCCACTTGAAATTCTTTTCTTTTGGCCATTCTATGTTACAAATAAAAACACTAAATTACTATATACTTCCAAGTTCTAACATAACAGGCTATAAACTACTGATCAGATAGTAATATAAAGCATTCATCTAACAATGCCAACATGACCTGCAGGACATATAGAATATCAATCAACCTAGCTTTACCCTTATCAGTTATCCCTATTATGGAAGCTCAACCATAACAATAAATAACAAAGCTCAGGCAACCTGTGACTGGCAGCCGCACAGTAGTATAAAATCTAGGTAAGATCATATGCAACTAGCCTTTACCCTTAACCCTGTTAATGCCCATTTTCTTATGTTCAAATCAAAACTATACTAAATGAAAGAAAATATTCCATTATGAAGGGCAATAATGAAATTACACTGTACAATTAATGTTTAACAGCACATTAAGTCATTAACTATAGTTTTCGTAAATCCAATCTACTGAAACCATTTCCAAAATTTCCCCCAACTTACACAACTGCTAAGTGACATAGAAGGATTATACTCCTAAATTATAACAATGAAAAACTAGAAGAAAAGCAACGTAATTGTACTGTTCTACCACTCCGGATTCCAATTGCCACTCCACAATCACAACCTGAATCTCATATTCATATTGGCATTGTCTAACTACTGAAAAATGTAGATAACTATTATGAAGTACAATTTACTAACAAAAAATGTTAATAATTTTCTCCAAACATGACCGTGAAGCCATCCTCATTTGAAATAACAAAAATTTTACAATAGAATAGAAAAACTTACATGAAAATCAAGGGCAAGCAAGGGCGACAAGGCATGCGGTCGTCTCTGAAGCCTCTTATCTCTCTACCCGTCACCGACGAGTGATGAAGAACTGAAGAGCAGTGAAGGATTGGATTGAGCGAGTAGTGAGTGAGAGCTGAGGCGGAGCGGAAGGCGTGCCGGAGTAAGGAAGACCAAGGCAATTGCAAGCGTTCAGTTCACCCAGTCTTGGATGGCAAGCCAGCGACACCGAGAGTGGAGACGCTTCGGCGAGAGAGCGGTAAGTCGGCGATGCCTGAGAAGAGGAGCGGCGAACCGGCGACTGGCGAGAGCGACGACTGAGGCCTGAGGCAGAGACGAATGAGGGTGAGGCTTGAGAGGGAATTAGGGCTGAGAGCTTGAGAGGCGTGAGTTTAGATTATTTAGGCAATTTTTTTTTTTTTAAGAATTTAGCGATGGATTTCAGAATCCGTCGCTATATAGAGCCTGATTTTAATTTCCGTTCCTTTTCCCACAAGCTGAAGCTTTTATAATATTTTAGCGACTGATTTTAATTGGTCGCTAAATATATACGGATGTTATTTTTTACATATTAGCGATGGATTATTGATTCCATCGCTAATTGTGAGAATATTTTTAAACTCTCATGTATATTTACCGATGGATTTTTAATCCGTCACTAAAATGTTTTTAAAAAAAATTGGCTTGAAAATTTAATGACGGAAATCAAAATCCATCGCTAAATTCTAAAAAATTGCTATATTTAGCGACGGATTTTAAAATCCGTCGCTAATTTGTAACAAATACAATTATGGAATCCGTTCGCGAAAAATTCGTCGCTAATCCGTCACAAATCTATTGCTAATTGTTGCGCCAAAATTTGCCGGTAAAATCAGTAACGTATTTAGCGACGGAATATCGTCGCAATATCCATCGCAAATCCGTCACAACTCCGTCGCTAAATGTCCATTTAGCAAAAAAATTGAAATTCGTTGGTAGGTTGTCGCTATTCCGTCGCTAATTTAGCAACGAAATATGTCCATCGCTAAATCCGTTGCTATATAAGCATTTTTTGTAGTGAGTGTAGCATTTCTGGGTCATGTGATTGATAGTAGGTCTATTTCTGTGGATCCGGACAAGATACGGGCACTGAAGGATTAGACTGTGCCTACATCGGTGGCGGAAGTAAGAAGCTTTCTTGGCTTAGCGGGTTATTATGGAAGGTTTGTTTTGGATTTCGCTAAGGTGGTTCAACCATTGACTAAGTTATTAAAGAAAGAAGTGCCTTTCGTTTGGAATCAAGCGTGTGAGTTAGCATTTCGGGAATTGAAGGAGAGGCTCACGTCTGCACCAGCTTTAATTTTGCCATCAGGAACAGAAGGGTTTGAGGTAAACAGCGATGCATCCAAGAAGGGACAAGGTTATGTGTTGATGCAAAATGGGAGAGTAATTGCGTACGCCTCGCGTCAGCTTAAAGTTCACGAAGAGAATTACCCTACCCATGATTTGGAATTGGCCGCCGTAGTGTTTGCTTTGATGATTTGGAGGCACTATTTGTACGGGGTGCGTTGCAAGGTCTTCACGGACCACAAGAGTCTCAAGTATATCTTCACCCAAAAGGATCTTAACATGCGGCAAAGAAGGTGGTTAGAACTCATCAAAGACTATGAATTGGATATCCAGTATCACGAGGGAAAGGCCAATGTAGTAGCGGACGCCTTAAGCCGGAAATCGAAGCATACCGTCAATTCTATTTGGATAGTAGCTGATGAACTTTGCAAAGGGTTCTAACAGATGGACTTGGAGGTGGTAGAGCAAGGTGAGGTCGAATCGGAAGTCCGTTTTTACAGCTTAAGGGTGGTAACTACGTTTCTAGAAGAAACTAGGAAAGAGCAACAGAAAGATGCAAGCTTGATGAAGGAAAGAGATGACCTGATAAAAGGAAAAGGGGGACCATTTGAGCTGTCTAAGGATGGAGAGTTGAGATATAAAGGCCGTTTGTGCATACCCGCATCTTGTGATCGGTGGAAACGGCATATTTTGGAAGAAGGTCATAACACGCCCTATTCGGTCCATCCCGGGGGCGACAAACTGTACAAGGATGTGAAGAGTCACTTTTGGTGGCCTAATTTGAAGAAGGAGGTCGCAGAGTTTGTTGGAAAGTGCCTTAATTGCCAAAAGGTTAAGGCGGAACGTTGTAAGGTCAAATGATTGGTACAACCACTAGAGGTTCCACAAGGGAAGTGGGACTCCATATCTATAGATTTTGTGGGAGGTCTACCGACAACCCGTTCAGGTAAGGACAAAATTTAGGTGATAGTTAATCGATTGACTAAGACTGCTCGCCTTATAGCGATGAAGGAGACCTGGACAATGACGCAATTGACTCAAGCTTATGTTAATCAAGTGGTGAAATATCATGGAGTTCCGCGGGACATCGTCTCCGATCGTGATCCAAGGTTCCTGTCTCAGTTCTGGAAGTCTCTGCAGGCGGCTCTTGGAACCAAATTAAATCTTAGTACTGCTTTCCACCTGGCGACTGATGGGCAAAAAGAGAGGACTATACAGACTATCGAAGATATGTTGAGAGCTTGTGTAACACCCCGTGTTACGGCCCCTAAAACCATTTAATTAATCAATCAATAAGCCCAAGAGAAGGAATAAATCATAATGATCAATTAGGGAAAAAGGCCCACCATAGTCCATGGGCCCTCATATATATACCCAACCCCTAAACCCAATCCTTAGTTCCGAAAGAAATAGAATTAGCAAGCCTATAGTATGAATTGGTATCCCGTTGACCTAGGTGAAAGAAGTATGAACCCCTTAGGGCTATCCTTAGTATGTGATGGATCACGCATAGGTTTGTTATACGCTTTATCCCCCTTCCCGATGTGTAACGTGGGTTGCATGTGCTTGCTATGTGTTATGTGTGTGTGCTACCCCAATTCGGTTGCGATCGGATTGGTTATCCTGAGCTGCGGTTCAGAAGCTGGTTGCGGTCAGATTGGTATTCCTGGCTGCGGTCAGATGACATTCTCTTGGGCTGCGGTCCACCGTTTGGTTGCGATCAAACGTTTCTATACGAGCTGCGGTTCGTCCTTTATCCTGGCTGCGGTCAGATGACACTCTCTTGGGCTGCGGTCCACTGTTTGGTTGCGATCAAACATTATGATGAGCTGCGGTTCATCGGTCGGTTGCGATCGACCTCCCCGTGTTGCGATACGGGGCATGGTGCTGCGGGGCTGTGTCAGAGCTATATGCGCTGACCCTCATGTATGGGCATGCGATCGGTCCCGTGGCGCCAACAATGTGCGTTATGTGTGTGATATGGACGAGTTGTGACTATGAGTGCCTTGGGATGTGACTATGGGTTTCATATTGGGGATTGTTCATAATGGGATTATGATTACCGTTTATGCCTTGTCGTAACTGCTTTATCTTTTGTGAAATGCTTATGCTTGCTATGTCCACTGCTGGTGTCTAGCCTTAACTGTTGAGTCATTCCCGGTTTTAAAAGCTAGAGTTCGTAGGATATATCTTCATGCTCATAATGGTTTTCGTATATCTATATATATCTCTATATGTATTGTATTTCAACGCGTTGGAGTGGGTTACCAGCATCTCTCGCTGAACAGATATATTTGGCTTTCAGGCACAGAAGAATAAGTCATTGGAGCGCGCTAGAACTCGGAACGTAGAAGTAGATAGTTCCCTTTTCGGCCTGTGTGCCATATTATGCATTTACATTATTGAGGACATTAGCTAGTTAGCCTGTGCACCTGGGTTCTCCAGCTCAGGTGTGGCATAGCACCCCGTACACTTGTACTATGTTTTGGGATTTAATGAGATAATACCTTTATTTATAAGTTTTAAATGTCTTGAAAATCTGGGGTGTTACAGCTTGTATGCTAGATTTCCAAAGGTCTTGGGAGGATCATTTGGATTTAATCGAGTTTTCCTACAACAACAGTTATCATTCGAGCATACGCATGGCGTCTTATGAAGCCCTCTACGGTCAGAAGTGTTGCAGTCGGCTGTGTTGGGAGGATTTAGTCAACCCGATAGTGTTGGGGCCGCAATATTTGCTTGACACAACCGAGAAGATTTAACAAATTCAAGGAAGGATGAAAGCGGCTCAAGATCGCCAAAAGTCCTACGCCAATTTGATTAGAAAGCAAGTGGATTTCTCGGTTGGGGATAAAGTTTGGTTGAAAGTATCTCCCACCCGGGGAGTGATGCAGTTTGGAAAGAAAGGAAAGTTGAGCCTCAGGTTTATAGGTCCGTATGAAATCTTTGAGAGGGTTGGAAGTTTAGCCTATTGTTTGGCGTTGCCCTTGGAATTGGAGAGAGTGCACGATGTGTTCCACGTATCACAGCTCAAGAGATATGTACACGACCCCGCTCATGTCTTACCATCGGAAGTTATATCGCTAGATGAGGACTTGTCTTATGAGGAGAGACCGCTCAGAATTCTGGATTTCAAGACTCGGGACACGCGTAGGAAGTCTGTAAAGATGGTAAAGGTTTGGTGGACGCATCATGGGGTTGAGGAAGCTACTTGGGAGCTGGAGTCCACCATGCGAGAGCGGTATCCAGAGTTATTCTCGGCAGGTACCTCGTCTTCGTTGTTGTTGCTTGCCTTGTGTGCTTGTTTTGCTTGTTGCTCTGTTGTTTAGCTAGCTTAGTAGTTGGTGTTTGGAGTTAGTTGTCAAGTTCTTGGTTGTTGTCTAGAAGTCGGTGGTTGTGTTGAGGCTAGAGTTCTTGATGCTCAATCTATTCGTTTGTTAAGCTCTTGCCAATCCTTGAATTGAAATACCTTCTTTCTTGTCTTCAAATACTTCTTTGCCTTGGAATCTTGTGAAATCTTTTGGAGTCTTTTGACCAAAAGAGTTTGTTCTTGAACCTCTGGTCACAATGTTGTTTCTTTTCACCGTTTGCCCTTAATTCGTCGTACCCAAGCTTCGGGGACGAAGCTTCTTTGAAGGGGGGGAGGATGTGACACCCCGAAATCCAAATCCAATTAAGGGATTAATTGAGTAATTAATCCTATTTATATTTGTAATTTAATTCCTTAAATTCCTGAAATTTAATAGTTGGGGACTAATAATTGACTAGTCAACCCCAAAGTCAAAGTTGTACCTTGAGCTTTGTAAGAAGTTCCCTTGTTCCTTACACTTCCTTATGTTAGTAAGGGTATTCTTGACCTTTCACTTGTTGTTGGTAATATAACCTAACCTAGTAAGACCACTTTCAATCACTCCTTACACTTTTCTAAAAATCTAGCTCCACCCTCTCTCTAAAAGGTGAGTAGCTTTTCTTCCAAGCTAAGTTGGAACCTTGCCAAAACTTCAAGAGTTGCTTCCAAGATTCAACCTTTCTTATATTTGGGCATCTAGGAGGGTAAGATCTAAGTTCATCTTGTGTTTTTGGTTTTACCTAAGGTGTCTTTTCTTAAAGATAGGATCTTTATGATCTTTTGGTATGTTTTTGAAGTGGGTTTGGAAGGTGAGCCTTGTGAGGAGCTTGTTGAGGTGTAAAGTGAAGTCTTTAGTCTACAAGAGGTAACCCATGCTCTACAAAATCTATTTTGCTTACCTATATGTGATTTCTTGGATTCTACATGTGTTTTGCTATGAAATGTGAGTGTTGATGCATGATCTTGTGAAAATGCATATCTAGAGCTTGTGTTTAGGGTTCTTGTATGCCATTGCTTGGCATTTCCTTTGATTCAAGTCATTTTGTTGTATTTGGTGAGATTTGGCATGTTTTGGACTTGAATTTGAGTTGAAGATGAAAAATCCGCGAAGTTGGATTTGTGGTACAGGACACGTACCCGCGGGCGGAACGGCGGGCGGGGCACCACCCGTCGCCCCACCCGCGGGTACAAGGCTTATGGAAATGTGTTCCCGCGGGCGGAACCACGGGCGGGGCACCACCCGTGGGTCCACCCGCGGGCACACAATGTTGAATGTCGGGGGATTTGTTCCTCGTGATCCTTTTTACTCAGTATTTGGTCTTTGGACTTCCCGTTGTTCTTTTGTGGAACTATTTGAGTGTCTTCTTGATGTTTTGTATGTCTAGAACTATATGGTAGGATTCCATGTAGGTTTTGGTGTTTTGAATCGTGCTAAGTATTCAACATTGTGTTTCGTTGAACCGTGATGAGTCTTGTGTGTTCTTCGGAATTACGTTTGGTTTACCCGTTTGATAAGCATGCTAGTTCGGTGTTTAAATACTAGCATGTGTGTTGTTTGTACCTTCCGATTGGTTGATGATAACTTGTGTTATTCATCGTTGTTGTTGTTGGACTGTGATCCATTCCTTGATTGAGTATGGTTTCATATCTTCGTTGTGATCCGTTGATTGATTCCTGTTGAGGTGTGATGTGTGTGTGGCTTTACCTGGATTGCACGATTAGTGGAATGGGACACTAGTCACCAAGGTATTACAGCGGTCCTCGTGGTGGCCGTGACGTGATTATGGAGTTTGTGGCCTTCGTGTAAGGTTCACGTGTTTATGGGGGATAACATGTGTTATCCAGGCTATGTGTTGCCATGTGTGATCGGTACCTCGTGTACTATGAAATCGGTGGTTTTGTTGGTGAGACTGTTGGAGGGGGAACGACGGTTCCCGGGGGAATAAGGTTGGACTTGGTGTACAGGGGTCCTGGAGGTAAAGGTTGGAACTAGATATAAGGTTGGGGGTAGCCATAAGGTTGGAACAGGACATAAGGATGGCATATCAACTCGTGATGGGTGATGTCACGAGGGCTTGTGTAGCCGTTGTTGTGAGTTCTCTTCTTGTGACGTGTGTAGTCACAAAGGCATGTGTTGCCTAGGCATGTGTCGCCATTGGTCTTGTCTTTATCCTTTTGAGTTGTTGTTGTCCTTTGTGGTTTGGGATGTGTTCTCGTATCCTTGTTGAGAGTGTTGAGTCTTGTGTTGACTATTGATCTTGGTTTTTGACTTATATACTTATGTATTCCGTTTCGAAAATGGCTTTACAACTTATATCTTATCTATGTATGTTATTTCACATGTATTGGTGGGTTACCAGCTTTATGCGCTGACCGGGCGTCGTCCCATGTTTTATTGTGCTCTTTCAGGTGATGTCTAGGTGAGTGCGCAGTCCAGTGCCTGTTAGCATAGCTTCTCCCGTTGGTTTTATGGCCTGTGTGCCGCTCTAGTTGTAGACTGTTGAGACCTTTGGATAGTTGTAAACAATGCTGATTTTGCCGTAGCGTTCTTCCTTGTTGGTGAATGTGGCATAACACCCCATGACTTGGATTCATGTTTATCCAGTTACCTTTTAGTCTTCCGTTGTGTTTGTTGTTTAGTTGTGTTATCTGCATGTTTAAGGTTTTTAATTAGCCTATTTTTAGGGGATGTTACATTGAGATTTGCATTGACTGCATTAAGGGTAAGCAGACAAACAAGTCAAAGAAAGGTGCCAATAGAAGTACAACGTTGTTGGAAATTATTCATATTGACATATGTTGTCCTGACATGACAATACCTGGTCAGAAATATTTTGTCACCTTTATTGATGACTTCTCAAGATTTTCCTATGTGTATTTACTTCAACATAAACATGAAGCATTGGATGCCTTTAAATCATTTAAAGCTGAAGTTGAAAACCAATGTAATAGGAAAATACACATAATTAGGTCTGATAGGGTGGCGAATACTATGGTAGATATACTGAGAATGGACAGGCACCTGGTCCCTTTGCTAAGTTTCTTCAAGAGCATGGGATTGTTGCCCAATACACCATGCCTGGTTCTCCGGACCAAAATGGTGTAAGCTGAAAGAAGAAACTGGACCCTTCTGGATATGGTGCGGAGTATGCTTAGCAACTCTAAGTTTCCGAAGTCGTTGTGGGATGAAGCACTTAAGATGACAACGTATATATTAAGCCGTCTTCCAACCAAGGCTTTCCCTAAGACACCATTTGAGTTATTCAAAGGTTGGAAACCGAGTTTGCAACATATGCGTGTTTGGGGATGTCCGTCTGAGGTGAGGATATATAACCCACACGAGAAGAAACTTGGCCCAAGGACGATTAGTGTTTTCTTTATTGGATATGCACAATCTTCTAAGGGTTATAGATTCTATTGTCCATCTCATACTACTAGGATAGTGGAATCAAGGAACGCTAAATTTCTTGAAGATGACTTGATTAGTGGGAGTGATCGGTTTAAGGACTTAGTTCCTTCCTTTGATCATATTGACTCTCAACCTTCTACGTCATCTGGTGGGGTTGTACTTAGCTCCTTTAGTTCTGCCTGCAGATATACCACCTACCGTTCAAATTCCACAAACTGTTGAGACTCAGCCTTTGGAAGAACCAGTTCAGGACTTACAGCAATCGCCTGGACTAGATTTTGACCAATAGTTGAACCAACTCAGGATATACAGCAAAATTCTGAGCCAATGCAGACTGAACCAATTCAAGAACTGCCACCAGTTCCTGAAGAGGTAGTTGACCCGCAGCCTATGCAAGGCGGTGGAGGTCCGACCTTAAGACGGTCTACTCGGATAAGGCGCTCAACAGTTCCTAGTTATTATGCTTTGTATCTACAAGAATCTGACATAGGGGTCGAAAATGATCTTGAAACATTCTCTCAAGCCACAAATTATGCACAGTATGACTTATGGTTGGAAGCCATGAAGGGTGAAATGTATTCCATGAAGGACAATGGAGTTTGGGATCTTGTTGAATTGCCTAATGGGGCCAAGGCCATTGGCTGTAAATGGGTTTTAAGACTAAAAGAAACTCATTAGGCAACATTAAGAGATACAAGGTCCGGCTTGTTGTCAAGGGATTTACTCAAAAAAGAAGGATCGATTACAAGGAGACCTTTTCTCCTGTATCAAAGAAAGATTCACTTAGGCATTAGTTGCACATTTTAATCTAAAGTTGCAACAGATGGATGTGAAAACCGTTTTCCTTAATGGTGATCTAGAAGAGGAGGTTTCTATGAAACAACCTAGAGGTTTCAATTCTAGGGGTGGTGAGCATTTAGTATGTAAGCTTAAGAAATCCATATACGGTTTAAAACAAGCTTCCCGTCAATGGTACATCAAGTTCGATGGGGTAATTTCTTCATTTGGTTTTGTTGAAAATCCCTCAGATAACTGTATATACCAGAAGGTGAGTGAAAGTAAAACTTTCTTTCTTGTTTTATATGTGGATGACATCTTACTTGCCACCAATGATAATGGGATGCTTCGTGATGTGAAACAGTTTGTTTCTAAAGAACTTTGATATGAAGGATATGGGTGATGCCTCTTATGTTATTGGCATTAAAATTCAGAGAGATAAGTCCCGGGCTATACTGGGTTTATCTCAAGAAACCTATATAAACAAAGTTGTAGAGAGATTTCATGTGTAAAATTGTTCATCTAACGTTGCTCCCATAGCTAAGGGGGATAAATTCAGTTTGGACCAATTTCCGGAAAATGACTTGGAGAAAGAATCCATGGAGAACATCCCTTGTTGGATGTCTTGGATATATTCGAGTGTGTGCAAGGCGGACATTGCTTTTGCGGTTGGAATGCTTGGGCGTTACCAACACAATTTGGGGTTAGACTATTGGAGAGCTGTAAAGA